CTTGATGATTCTCATTACTTCTTCTATTAACAATAATATCTTGAATCCAGACTTTCATTATGGTCTCTTCAATAGTGTTACATCCCTTTCCCTACAGTACCTTGTGTAATGAGCCTTAAAGGTTCTTAAGAGACCCCATGGTAAGGATGAAAGACCACTTTGATACCTTCCAAGTTGAATTCTTGGTGACCAGGGACATTCTCTAACATGAAAAGAATGTTGAAAGGCAATCCCTACTGGCAAGGTACTTTCTGACTTCCGAGACAAATCTAGAACCAATCAAGAAAAAGTGTTCTTGTCTTCAAGGCCTTCTTGCTATACTACTAGAAGACAGGCAGCTGATGTTTATCTTTTCCCTTCAAAGTTTGGGGTTACTGGCTGTATAGATTAAAGTAGTCCTAATGATAGACCCACCTGCATTTGCATGAAGCAGTAAAATTAGCTTCTTCCTTCCTCTCTTGAATCATGATGCATGTTTTTCTTCCTTATTAGTAAATGTTCTTTGTGGCGCCCACCCCCCCTCCCTCCCACAGAATAGGGCAATTTCATCTCCATCAAAACCTATCTAGGCAGATACCCTTTGCTCAATGATTTTTTAATGATGTCTGGGAATTCATCCACTGCTGCTTAGTTGGCAGAAGCTGCTTCTCCAGTTATCTTGACATTTTTTAAGTCAAACCTCTTTGTAAAATTATCACACCCCTTGCTGGTATTAAATTCTCTAGCTTCAGATCCTTCACCTTTCTTTTGCTTTAAGTCGTCATATAGTGATTTTGCTTTCTCTCAGATTGTATTAGAGTCTATAGGTATCCCTTTCTTATGTGGATGCAATTCTGCACACACATTAATAGCTGCATTTTCAATATGAGAAAAGGTATTTTGTAAAAAGTGAAAGTTTTTCCATGACATAGTTGCAGTAATGGCTTCACAAATTTCCTTTTCTTTTTCACAATGGTCCTTACATTGATTCATGTATCCTGAAATTGCAGTCAATCACTGCTGCAGACCTCAGTGTAAAGTGCATGTCAAGCATTTTAGCTTTCTTATGATAGTGTGACTTTTCTCTGCTTCTTGGGAGCACTTCCTGCATCATCAGTGGCACTTAATGTGAGTCCCATGGTGTTATTCAGGGTTTACAGTATTGCACTGAAAACAATGAAAAATAAAACATGAAAATCACAAGAGATCACTTTTTCTGCCATATGCAATTTATTGGAGATGATTAGCTTCGAAGGGCATTTAAATCAGATATTTGCAACACTTGAGTTCACTGTGATAGCAACAGGAGATCCATACAAAATTATTGCCCAGTACAGTACATAATGTAGTTAATTTTATGCAGTTAGGATTTTAATATTGCATCTTTACATTTGTTTACATTTCTCTCTCCTGAGAATGGTGCCATGTACTATCTGTGAGTGTGGGCATAAGTTTTGACAAACTATATTTTTATAATAGATTTGTATGTATTTTATGGTTGTAAGTGATAAAAATAAACTAATGCCTACATCTGTTTTATGCATTCATCACTTAGCTAACTTTTTCTAAGTTTTTTCTGTATTTCCAGGCTACATGATCTCTGAGTATTTTCAAATTGTCACAAATCTTCAAAAATTTTTCCAATATGTCTTTTGAAGAAATAAGAGTATATGTGGATCAACACAATTCAAACACATGTTGTTCAAGGCTCAACTGTATTTATGTTGTACTAAAGGCTTATATTTTTGGAGATACATTTTCTATGTTTGGTTTCTCTGAGTATTAGTAATTATTTTCTAATCTATTTTTATGTCTAGAGGATGTTAAACGTCTAAATGAGAAACTTAAAGAAAGCAATACAACAAAGGGTGAACTTCAATTAAAATTGGATGAACTTCAAGCATCTGATGTTTCTGTTAAGGCAAGTAAGAATAAGTATTGGTAATTCCTAATTCATAGAGTAGAATTTTTGCTTACAGCTCACCTAAATTAAAATTTAAATATAGGTTAAGTTGTTCATAAATAATAAAAAGCTGTGCTTTGTTTTTAATGTCAGGAAATTAGACATTGGGACTATTATAACTGAATTATTTTGCTTATTTGAAACTTAAGTTTTATTGTAGTTCTTCATATATTTTTTATCAGATAGGAAACCATGCAAATATGTCTGTTTTGAATTAAAATTCTGCTTATATCCTTTAGCTACGGTAAAAATATTTTTAATTACCATCTCTGTCAATGTTGTTTTCTTGGATTTCTTTAGTATCGAGAAAAACGCTTAGAACAAGAAAAGGAATTGCTACATAATCAGAATACGTGGCTAAATACAGAGTTGAAAACCAAAACTGATGAACTTCTAGCTCTCGGAAGAGAAAAAGGAAATGAGATTCTAGAGCTTAAATGTAATCTTGAAAACAAAAAGGAGGAGGTAAATTATTAATAGTAAAATTATATCTTTCTTTATGCTAGCTATAGCTTATGTGTCAGTTTATTAAATGTGTGTGGAGTGGTGTACCTAATTCTATAATGAAAAGAGGGGTCAAAGGTGAAGGCTATAATTGATTAACATTTGGTCTAGGAAATCAACAAATTTCATTTAAATAAACAATTTATATTCTTTGTTGAATCTTAGTACTATCTACTATTGTGTAATAAGGTACGTCTTTAAGAAGGTGTGATAGGATGGC